AATCAATGTTTTATTTTAATATAGATCATTTCTAAACATGTTAAATTCGTATATGTTTAATAAAAATATAAATAATACTATTTTTAGAAAAAAAAAAATATTTATTATGTCATCAGTATTCGCTTCAGATTTATGCATAGACATAAGAGCTAATAAAGAACAGTTTCTATGTATATGTTATTTATTACCTATTTATTAGAAACAAATTCAAATTCCAACGATTCTATTATCTCTCCCACATTTGTGTGCAATCATGCCGCTTTCACAATATATTCGACATAAAGTAGCAGACCTTTTTGGAACTTTTCGAAAGAATAAACAAATTTCCAAAATTATAGAAAATATACTTCGAATTTCTCGAATCTTCAAAACTGCATTTAAACTTAAATTAAAAATGTGAATGAATGTATAGCGCAGAAGAGAATTTTGATTTAATAATACATGCACTCCATCATAATTGCCCTGCCCTCTCAAAAATGTTGGATCCAAACCCAACCTGATTATTGTGTTTATTATGGCAGTCGACAATTATTTTCCTGTTATAGTACGTTTACATTTAACCGGATTTCGTTAACCCAGTGGGTTTCAATTGTCAATTCCTTTGCATATACGTCAAATAAATCCTCATAAAGTAGGTTAACCCGGTAAAAAGTTATAATGTACAAGGAGTTTTAATCCTCTACGTCCACGTAGCAAAATAAACATTCGTTGACTTTTTTAGATGCCATGTCAAAAAATCTTCTATATATTGATAGGTGCCCCTTTATCCGGAGTTTTGTTCGCTAAAACCGAAAAGAATACAACACTTTTCACTTCTTCAACAATAGACTTCTGAATGTATTCTCCAATTATTTCTCATAACTCGTACTGTAGTCTGGGACTCAGGTATGCTGCATATTTTCATAGGCAGATGGAGTCCATGCATTTAAATACAGTTTTTTCTTTAGTCGCCCACAACGGCGGTTTCAATGTATTGAACAATGCCAAAAATATAGATTTTGCTTCTCATCACAGTCAGTGAAATGGGTGTTGAGTTGAACCAGATTAGCCTTCTAACAAATCCAAATTTAACTGCTAAACATTCAGTATATAACGGATCATAAATTTAATTTTAAACACTTGCCAAACATTTGAATTAAGGGAACCCCACCCATTCTCGATTTTAATTTTTCAAGATTTTCAATGGGCTGGTAAATCAATACCAATGCTTGTTAAGGTTTCTAACTTTGCACATATATATATTTGAAGATTTAAAAGAGAAGAAAAATAATTTACAAAAAATTTTTGTTATTGTTTTGTTGTTGTTTTTTGTAATTAAAGAAATTAAAGAAAGGTCCAAAAAGAAGCATGTAGCTCCGCAAATACTTATTTTTTTAATTTGCCTTTACGCAAATAAAATACAAATACAATACAACCCCAAATTGCATTTACAGATTTAAAACATTTTTATTCAAAAGAAAGTTTGATTGTTTTTTCCTCTTGAAAATTTGTTAAATAGGGGCTTATTGCCTTTACAATTTAAGCCAGAAATATACTTGTTTACCTTACCTGCTAAGCATTCCCATAATGTCCTTCTCTTTTGTAAGAATAGATATTAGGGTAGACGAAGAGATGTGGTAGCGATTCGCCACATCATTTTTTCACCATTGTTCACTGTATTTATGATGTCAAGCTATATGTGCGACCGTTTTTGTGACATTTGAATAAAATTCAATTTAAATATTTTAATATATTTTCATTTTAGTTGTTTTCAAAAAGTTGTTTTTAAAAATTTTTTAAACATTAAATTGTAATTTTATATATGTTGTTTACATATGTTCGCCTCTAAACTTAAATTGATATTCGATTAATTTATACAAAACCGACTTAGGTTTTTTGTTATTATCAAGAGCATGAAACTGTTATGTTTGATCAATTAAATGCAACACGGCAGAGTATTACAATAAAAATAAAAATTTGATTTTGATTATAAACATTACACGGCTGCTTTGATCTTATTTGCTGTCTCTGCTTTCGCGGTTGTCTTTGTTTCGACGTCGCTGCATTATGTGCAGCGACCAGAAAACAACAACAACAAAGAATAGTTTAACAGAGACAGTAAACAAAGTTCATTGCCCGTGCTATATTGCTTAATTATGACCATGAACTATTAACGGTGCAATAGGGAAAAGGGGAATTAGAATTCATGACAGTTTTTTTCTCTCTCAAGTTAGTAAATTGACATCATTGTTGGAAAACATTGGCGCAGATAGAACCAAAAGTACCTGTCATTTACGTAAAAAATATTTAGGTAAAAAACAGGTTTAAATAAAAAAAAATACTTTTTGTTTTGGTACATTCATGTAATTTCGTACCGCAAATCTAATTACTCCCAATTAACCAATGAGAGAGATAAAACGCTCATGATTCGTAATGAAAAGTAGGACTTAGAAGAAAGTAGCGATGTCAGTTCGTGACAATGCTAACATAAAGCAGGGTGCGAAGAATGATTAAAATACGCTCTTTCTCACGAATGCTCACGGTCGAGAATTCGAATGTTTTTCAATTTATCGCGAATGATAAAGTTACAATGAATGAACAAGCATTTGCAATCTCTCGCGAATGTTCGCATGGTACGAAAAATTCACGAACGATAAAATTTCGCTGCAATCGGCGTCGATTGATTATTTCGCGAGCATTTGTTGCTGGAGAACATTCTTTTGAAAAAGTCAAAAAACAAATGTTCGCGAATGCTCGCGAGCAACAACAAACAAAAATATCATAAAAAAGTAAACACACACAAACAACGAAAAAATGTGTGTGTGGCAGAATGTGTGGGGAATAAAAAAACACATGTCCAAAAACTATTGAGTTCACGAATGTTTCTTGTTATTGTTGTTTTTAGCATTCGGGAGAATTCGGGAATGTTTGTTTTCATTCGTGAGAGAATATCAGAAAGCATTTCAACCACCAACCGAAACGAACGAACGTTGTTGTGTGCTCTCACTCGCTTGTTATGTGTGTGCGAACAGTCTTTGGCAAATTTTTGTTTGGTAAAGAATTTATCGCCATAAATTCATTCGTGAAATGATTCAAAATACATTCTTTTCGTTTTGTGCTCAAAACGAAAAGAATGTATTTTGAATCATAAAGGGTAACTGTTTGATATGAAATAAAATAAACCCTGCCGCACGGTGATTTTAATTTTTTTTAATTCAGCCTGATTAAGAAAATAAACCCTGATTTAGCCCCCAATCATGATAAAATATTAAATTTAAATCTGATTTAAGTGTGTGTGTACTACAGTTTAGTAAATCAAAGGGGAAACACATAAGGTAACTTCAGGCTTGGCATGTTAAGTTGTCGTATTTGTTTCCCCCTTTAAGGGAGCAACACATACCAGGATTCAGGGCTGGTCCGTTAAATTGGCTTTATTTGAAATTTAATTTAAAAAAGAATACCAGAGTCAAACCGATATCAGACAAAAGATGCAGGTAACAAAAGCGTAAACTCGTGTAACTTGTCGGTAGTTGTAGCCGATCAATGGCCTCCGCCCTTCCCGCATCCAAGGTAAAGTCCGTCTGTCTGCTTCTGTATTTTATGTATTTTTATTAAGAGAAACATTGACATTGAGTTTATTTAAATAAATGTACATTACATACTTATTGTCTCATCTCATTAATTGATTTTTAGACTTTTATAATTTCTATTATTGGATTTGATTTATATTCGTATTGACAACTTCAGACTTACAATTATTTTTTATGTTTCATTTTTGTTAAATATATTTTCATTGACTTTGTAATTTCCACTGATCTTTTGTATCTATTTATATATATGTATATATAATATAATAAAGACAATAATAATAATAATAATAGTAAATTTGTATATAAATTAGTAGATACATGATTGGGGTGTTTTTGATGAACTAGAAATTATGTATGTATATATATATATATATGTTTATAAAATAGTCAATTGTAAAACAACGAAATATATTAATGTATATATTTTTAATTTTATATGTAAGTTCAATTGTCGTTTAATGTTATTTATAATTCGGAATTGTCATTATTGTCCATTCTTTCTAACGGCTTACAGAAAATCATCACAACAAATAGATGTTATGGGTGTGAGTGTGCATTTTCCGTAAGCAGTTCTTCATTTGCGATTTATTGTCCATGCACATAGGTTTATGCTTCTAGATTTCGCGTTTTTAAGGTTGTATTTGTTTAATTCTTCTTATTCCACAAGAAATGTAAACCAAGAAAATTATTGTCTCTGTTACTAAGCAGTATCTAATATCTTTGTTAAATATTCGGATTTCGTTTTTTTTCTTTGTTTTCAAAAATACGTAATATAATAAATTAATTTGTAATTACTTTAATTGTATTAGTTTTGTAGTGTCAATAGTCATTGATTTTTCAGCGAAATTGCAGGAGCAACATTTTATTGTCATATTATTATCTATTATTTAGCGTCTGTTTTCCGTTAGGACCTTGGGAAACCTTACAATATTTTGAAAAAATAAAAACGAACGTTAGAGCTAGCTAACACTGAAACCTCGCTCAACACAAATCGGGGATCGGAACCACTGGTCGTGGGCATATCAAATTTGACCGATCTAGAGAAGAATATAAATTATTTAGTTACTTCACTTTTCAATGGCGAACGATTTTAATGCTTTCATTTGGGGTTGGCTGGTTTTCATTCGTTTCCAAATGGATGTAAACTCACGTCCTACTCTAACTTCTGCCAAAGTCCTGTGGAAGGGAAACAATTTGCAGATTTTCCTTTCTACTCTATAAATATATATGCATGTGTCATTGTGTATAACTATATTGTATAAGTGATATTATTGTCCAGATATGTTGTAATTAATTAGTTAGTATTTAATTAGGATATGATTAAATATGGATATTATTGTCCTTAATTACTTCTGTTGCAATTGGATTACGACTTGTTTTGCAACGTTATAGTTTTGTTTGCGTAATTATTTTAATTAAACTTAGTTTTTTTTTTTGATTTTTTGTATATCTTTAATTTTGTTCGAGTTCCTAGTATCGTGTTAGGTTGTTGAGATCATTGCGTCGAAAGCTGCGGCGATTCATGGCCGTTATACGTGGTGGCGTACCCCAGGAATGGAAGGGCGCAGACACAGCTGCCTGGCGTCGCAGGTTACGAGGATAGTAAGCGGATGGTAGGTCATTGGTGGAGATGCTTCTGTGGTGTTCCATCGATTGCATGTACAAGGGCCAGCGACCACGCATTCCGGCAGCACCCCAGTTTACCATGGGTCGATAGGGGAAGAAGCAGCGTTTACAAACGGCTGCGATGGGTTGACGCAGTCGCTCTGGTGGGGGGTAATACTCGACCTTAGACATGTCATACCCAACGCAGAGATGGCAACAGCGAACAGGCAATAAATACAATGGGGAGAATGTTAATTAATTGGCATTGTTTAGTTGTTCAACATGCAAATAACACAAAAACTTAATAAATAAATATATACAGCACAGTTTAAATGAATATTTACACATCAACGGACTAATTATATCTCGTATACATACATACACAGTCATTCCATACACAATACAGTCCCGTTTCCGGTCGTTTCCTAACGCGTACTGCCCAACGCAGAGTTCATTTGCCACAGTTTCTGCAAATATTAACTGCTATCAGCTGCACAATCAAATTGCAGAAGCCAAATTGCAGAAGCCATAGCCAGGATAGGAAAACACTCAACACAGTGTGACAACTAATTACCCTTTCCGGGCATAACATTGATTTTACGTTCAGTGATATAACAACTCAATAAAAGAGGCTGAACAACTATCTTCATAAATAAGGGCTATATTGGTTCCAAACAATCGTAGGAATCTATGGGAACCATTACCAGTGTTCCACTTGGCAACAATTTACTTTTTTAATTTGGAAATGGATTTGAACTAGGAAAACATTTCCGGTCACAAAATTTGCTGGGAAAATTGCGACATCTTCTGTACATCTTACCAGGCAAATGTAGTCGAGAAAAACATCCACCTTCATTGATGCAATCATCCTTAAGTTCGCAACCTTCGGAAAATAAAAAAAACACATTCTTTAACTATCCCCCGGGGTGAACTATTTATGACCCACACATTCATCCAGTCATACAGACACTTCTCACTTCAAAGAAATGTTTACCCACTTTCCAAGTAAATTTTAAACGGCAAAAACAACAAATGAAAATACGTATAACAGCAGCGAAAGACAAGGCAACCCTTGCGCCTCAGGCAATGGCAAATGTTTGCAACAAAAATGAATTGAATTTTTCCAAGTTTAGACAAGTTGATTCTGACGCCTAATGCCTAATGGGTATTTTCGTTTTCCACTTCAATGCTGGATGCCGCCAAGAAAGCACTGAAAGTACAATTTGTAGGTATTTATGTGGTATGCCGGCTGGCAGGCAGGTAGGATCGGCTTCGTCATGTATACTTTCCAGCAACATGAGCACAGAGATTTGACAAATCGGTATGACGGTAAACAGCTGAGACAAGGCATGAAGCCACGACAACAACAAGCATTCCCAGTGGGAAGTTTGGAAAGGGCCAAGCGGAAATTTAATAAAATGACAATAGTACGTCTTTAGGCCCGTGGATACCAACGTTAAAATCGAACAAAGGGAAGAATACGTATGAAACGAGAAATAATCATAAACAAAAAAGTAAAATGCAGACATATGCCACTGAACGAGGTTCCACACCAAAGAAACCGGAAAACAGTGACTCTTTCATAAATCCGGGCTGTAGTCATTGTACGTGGGTGTTTTTGTTACTGTGTAATCTGTGAAAGCCATTCATACAAGCATGCATGGCAAACAACATCCACATACACACACTTCAATGTGCTCCTGGTAAATATATACAGCTCTCTCAATCATTTAACGTGGCCCATCGTTGTTAAATTTATGCGACATAACGGTTCACATTGTTGGCATTGTTCGCCAGTTTTATCACCCATATCCTATTTAAAATGCGACCCTGTTCATCCTACGCACCATGCAAACAAACACATGAATTTTTATTTTACCGACTTTCAGTTTCAGCAGCAATCTACATCCCTTTAACACGCATTACATCAAGCATTCGTCGGTAAAAAGTTACAGAATTCCACTACTGGCTGGAACAAGTTCTCTTTGGGAATCACTACAAAACGACGCCCAATAATCCTGTTTGAGCAGCAACACCCTTTTAATCTACATCAATTTAACATGCATTACCACAACCATTCGGCTGTATACTTGATACTCGTCATCTTTGGCAGATCCATGTGAGTGGAAGCGATTTTCCCTGCCTACGGACAGATTTACACTCCGAGATGCAGTGACGCGAGGAACGATGCGGAAACCTTAGAGAGTCAAGTGTTAGTGTTGTCATGCTTGTTGTCTAGTACCTAAAAAGAAGCTATGCTTAAGGCAATTTCATGCGTCTACAGTCGCATAATGTGATAGAGTCGAAGTCCAAAAAAATGTATAAGTTACTCAGATACCCAACGCGATTACAGATACTCAATGCGGTTACATACAAAACGTGCTCAATAACAAGGTTGGTGGCCAGTTTTGGCTAACCGTAGATGCCATAGGTCTAGGGGGGATATGGTGGATTGCCGTCATCGCAGTCCAATGCTCCTGGAACTGTACGCGGAACTGTACAGTACGCGGATATCATTCGAATATTTCGTGTTCCCGATAAATGTTCTATAATTTTCTTGTTATAATTGCAAACTTGAATTTTTTGTGTCCCGGTAGCTGGTGCCAAAGGTATTATATTACAAACCCCCTTTAAAATAGGGGGTTTCGTTCGAACCGACTCTATCACAATGCAGGCACTTTACATTTTATAATTGGTCAACTACCAAAAAAGCTTTCAAAAGTGTTAAGTGTGTGTGCGTGTGTTTTCTATGATTATAGGAACAATTCGATAGCAAGTAGAAGAGCATGTAGAAGAAGTAGAGGAAGGAGAAAAAGATAGCACACAAATCATCGCCATTTACTCATACAAATTGCCTGGCACGTCCAGAACGACTAAAACGGCCTCCACCTACAGCACCACCACTTCCGGAGCCCATGGGGCTGCGCAATGCTCTATACGAGGGCAGGAATCCGGAACGATAGACCGCCCCAATGTGTCGTTTGGCGGGGGTTCCATAGACACCGCTGTCCACGGTGTCGGCGGCGGATAGTGATATGGGCTCGTCAGCGGATTCTGTATTCGGGTCGGTATTTACAGCGGTCTCGGCTTCGACTTGATTTGCAGACGCCTCATTCGAGTCCAAACTTTGCAGGAAATTAGCATTTTCGATGCCGAATAATTCCGGGTCCTTGGAAGTGTCTTTGAAGTTTGATTATATAATTACACAATATACAACAATAGTTGGCGTATGATTATTATACAAAAAGAAATCGAAGGCGCTTATACGCAATTATATAAGTGCGATAATGCGTCTATATGTTTTACATGTATATGTACATAGAGATAGGTTATGTAAATATATTTCGATTATGTATATATATACACGCTGACCTTCACAATTGAAAGAGCTTGGAGTACTTACCGAGAAATCTCTTTTGGGCCCTTCCAAAATCACCCCAGTCCATGTCAGCATAGGTACCATAATTCCAATAGTACGCCAAAGGATCGACATAGTCAAAGGTGGCTGGCAAGTATACAGGGGCCTCGTCTTCGCCTCGTTTCTGCTGTACGCCGTGAACGGGCGAGGCCTTCAGCGCACCGATGTTACGTTTCTCAGCAGCATTGTTGTACATACGCTGCGAGTTGTAACGGGCCACCGCAGCCATATTACGTTTAGGCTCATTGCGACCCAAAAGGCCCAAGCGTGCCATGGTAGCCAGATTTCGTTTGCCATTGGGCAATTGGAAGTCTCGGGCCAAGGTGCCTATATTACGCTTTCCAAAACCTAACATTTGGCCAGAACGGGCAAGAGAGCCAATATAACGTTTATCCTCCGAACGTTGGTCCTCGTCGGGCACAATTTCCGGATCGGGTGTAGGCAGTTGCCCATTCTTGGCTAAGGTGGCAAGACTACGTTTCGGAGAGCCATTCAAATTCAGTAATCCCTGGGCAGCCAATGCAGCCACTGAGCGTTTGTCCTCTTCCAGATAATCTGAATCATGGTCGAGACTTTGTTCTTCTCCCTCGTCGAGTTGTCTCTCCCTTAAAATGTTGCGCAATTGAGTTCGCAGGGACGATACCTACATTGGACGAACAACAAAAGCAGATCGTCGTTTTTTTATCAAACATTGTCCATTTCCCCGAAGAATTGCAAAAACGAATAAATATAAAATACATTGCCTCCAAATGCGTATGGCCTACGCCAAGTTATCTTGATAACAAATAACAAACTCACATACGCACGTATGTCTGTTTCTTATTTGTTTAATCGTCAATGCCAAAATTTGATTGAGAGACCAATACGTCTTCACCGAGCTGATATTTGACAGTTCAGGCGTTCAGCCGGTATACCATTACTATTATATGAGAACCGATGAATGACGAACTACTTACATGCATTTGGTACTGTTGGGAAGGATTCACCAATTGATTTATTATCGATTCCAGTTCACACGGCGAAACATTAGCCACATCATCGATAGCCTTGACAGCTTTTGGATATTGGGCCTGAAATGAAGCGAAAGGAAAATAAAGAAAATGCTAACCCGTACAAATAGCACAAAATTAAAATCAAGGCCTGGATAAATATTTCGCAAAAGTGAGAAATTAGTTCACTTACGAACTTTCAAAACAATCACGCATAAAATAAACACAAACCGTGCGTTGATTTTACCGAAGATAGTATTCCAGCTGACGTTGAATGCACTTCATGGAACTGGCTTCGTAGACCAAAAAAACATAATTTCTCATTAAATTATTCCTCTGCAAAATCATCAGATCTATTCTTAAATCCATAGGCCGCGGAATCGCGTCAATGTGAAAAAAATACTGCTGAACAAAAGGAAAATTAGGAACTGGTATTTCATGTGTATGTCCTTGTAGAAAAACATGCCACCGCGAATATGTTTCCGAAAAACGTTTTGTTCAATGCTGTATCGAAGCATTCACTTCGATTTCTTGCAAACATCCTTGTGGAATTCCGAATACATTTTTTGGTTGTACAAAATATAAATGGCTTTGAATAAGAATTCATGCTGAAGTAATCCCTGGGCAAGGGTTGGATGCTTTGAGAGGGAGAATACTATGTGTTTGTCTTTTCTTCGCGTGATATTTATACTGTGCAAACACTAAACAACCATCGAACATGTTTAACGGCCCACGCTGTGCCAACATAAAATAACCTCCTTTTTGATTAACACAACGACTGCAAAAGTAATTCGCCCGAGTGCATAGTTCCATCACTGCCTCCATTAGTCACAAAACATAGGTCATGGCTGTACGTTTGTACAGAACCATATTTAAGAAAATGCATGGGTATGCATAAAATAGAGCTGATTACTGACGCTTTTTTGACGGAAGGCGTTTTAACTCGTCGGCGTCTTTTTATCCCGGGAAAAATGCAAATGAGCCATCATTTATTTCTTCATGGCGTTTACCCGCAAATTAAAACATTATGCCGAGAAACAACAAAAAAATGCTGCGTTTCGTACTTATTTAGCAAATATGTCTAACAGAAAGGCCGAAATGAGGCACAGACCGACCACCGAAAACATCATCCCAGCCATTCGTCAGCAATGTTTTCATTTCAATTTATAAATGTGTACATGTATGTTGTTGCTCTATCATGTGCTGTCCATCAGTGGCTGCCATGATGCTTGGGCTAAAATAAATGGCTATATTGTCTTTTAACAATTCGACTTTTGCTGAGGCTTCCAAAACGAGCCCTGGGTGCGGATGTGTAGTCCTTTGTTTGACAACTTGCTTACTCATCCGACCCTCTGCTCTGCTAGACTTGAGGGCGATAATATTTTCAGCAGCAAATTTAATATTCCAGTCGAACACACATTCAATTTCTTCTGAGCCATGCTACGTGGGCGAACCTTTTGTAATACACTTTTCGTAGCTGCCGCTCCCCCCACCATCGTCGCTTTATGTTCACTTTTGTAAAATGTGATATCCTTGTCGTCGTCGTCGTCTGTACATATTTAGCAACAGAAATGTTTTACCCAGGACCATGAAGAAAACTTAATACATTTCAAAGGCAAGTACTCCTTTTTGGATGCACAAAAAGCGACTGGTGTGTAAACTGGAATTGTGCCAATTAAATTAAGGAGCATTATGGAGTAAAATCCAACGATTCGGAAGGCTGGAAATTTTGGTGGAAGTTTGGATCAGACGGTTGTTAAGAGAAGAATGACAGTTGAATCCTGTAGAAATAAGTCAAAACCAGCATGTCCTTAAATACATTGAGACATTGATATACCGTGTTGATATGAACACTAACTTGTGTAGAACTTTCGATGCACAAATTTAAATACATATTTCGTTTTATCACCGCAATAGTTCTTAATGCGTCAGAACATTTGAATAAGAATCCAATAGGATTTTTGTCAGTATGAATGAAATAATGAATACAGCATCACTGTTCCCATCTTCAGGTCATTTTAAGGAATTACCGTTTGTATTATTCTAGAAGCAACCACAATTCGGATTTTTCAAATAAAAAAACGCAATAAATACCTCCTCCTTCTGCGGCACTGTACTCGAGACGCTGGAATTTGAATTATGTACTTATTTGAGTTTCCCTAATGTATCATTGGGTTCATGAGGCACTCTGAGTGTGTCTGGGGATGAACCTTTCCTTTTGCAGACGTTGTCAAATACACCTGTTGCAAACAAACAAAGAACGAGTCCATAAGGACAGGCTACAACTCAATAATTTGACGATTAAGCCACTTCAAAGTTTATGAATGGAACACTCCGCCCCTAATCGATATCATCAACGTCAGCTCCAGCCAGACACCATCCACATCATGAAGAAAAGTTTTCAAACAGTTTGAACATTCGGCACACACTTATTTTTCATGGCCTTTTTCAACTTGGCGAAGAAGGACCCAATTACACACTGTAGGACCCAATTCAAGCTGTAAAGCCTTTGTCGTGAACCGAATGCGTATATGGTACCCGTACTTCTATTTGTTCACATTCCGTTTCTAAGGTACACAAAATACAAACACATTTTGTGTGTATTTCTGTCGAACTAAGCTATGAGCACTTCACAAATTGATCCTAAGGGTATTATTAAGACTTAGGAAACTAAAACAGCATACTTTAATGCTAACGCAACAGAAGCATGGATTTAAGGCGTAAGGAATCATATCCCTTCGGGGTAGAAATATTTGTTTGTTTCCAATATCAACAACGACGTCCGCACCAAAGCACACCACTACACAAACATCGCCACAAAATAAATAGCCCTCCATTCGGAGTAAACATGATTATCACTTCATTAGCTTGACTTCAGGCAGCAAAAGGCGTAGCGATAACGACATAGGATTAGGGTACTTCTTTAGACATTCTGTACCAAATATTTTATAAAACTATACTAATAGGTATTGGCATTGTTGGCAACGGTATTATGAGCAGCGCTGATGACTCCATGTGAAATGATCTCTTCTTGCTAGGAACTACAAAGAGTCTAAATTCGGTAACAGTCGTCGTAGAGGAATAAAAATTCGTTGCGCCACATTTCAGCACCATTTCTTTCGTAAAAACCTTTCAAAGAAAATGTGTGTCTAATCGATCCAACCTTTCTCAATTGATGAATTAGGACAGCCACTTCATTTTATTCAATGGGTGGGTTTAACATTAAACAAAATGGAGTGGCTTTAACGAATAGACACAACTTCTATCCACTATCTATTCAAGTTATATTCAATTTGATTTGGATTTCTTGGGGAATGCACGCAGTCCAAAGTGTCCTCAATTGAGACAACTTCGAAAACAAGAGCACGTTTGTTACGTCGAAAGAACTTAAAAATGTACCTTATGTTTAAAGAGTCGTTCCTTAATGTCCTACTAGTATTGGCGTTGCCGACTTGTAACACACATTGTGACAGCAATAATTCAATTCTTCTATTCAGAATTTAATTTGGCTGCAGGACGACTAACTGCAACCAAATGTCTGTCAACATAAAAACAATCTTATAAGAGACAATATTAATGTCGATATTGTGGAAACCAATATCGAAATAGACGCTATCCAAGTCAGAATGAAAAATACACGATTTTCAACCACGATGTATGAGAGCTCTCCCTATTGTCCGTGCTGCAACAGGCTCTGCTCGCATTTCCTATTTTTCTACACTGATTTTGCAGAATTTTTGCTGGCTTCTGTATATCAAAACCACTTCATTGTTTTGCCGCATTTGGCACATAACCGCCCTCGGTCTATCCATACGAACACACACATGTACATATTACTTAAGTGTGCACACATACACAGACACATACTAGAGTTTGCCGTGTATGAGCTGCGGAACCCACAAAGATTAATACAACTTGACATTCCATTTAAATATTATCTCTTCCACCTCTACGTCTTTTACATCTCAAGGAATGAATCTGCTGCTGGAGCAACTTTGGAATAACAGAACGGCCATGGTTGGCCGCCTCTATTTGGTCTAAATCGTTTCGTTGAACAACGAAACAATAACTCGAAGCTAAGGAAAGCAATGTTCAAATCAATCTTCACGCACGAATACACAGCCGCACACTTGTTGTAGTTTGTGTATGTATTCACCCACAAACACAACGACGAACGAACACATTTCGACTTGAACATAAATGTGAGTGGTGCAGAACGGTAGTATGGGTACATACTATTGTAATTACACATCTACATGCGTACATATATACAAATATATACGTGTATAAGCGTATATCCTATACAAACAAATAACAAAAACAATAAAAAACACTGTTGCCTTTTTTGAGTAAACATTTACAAACACACAAACTCGCATCCTTCACGATGTGTACACCCTTAGTTAGGGCCCAGTCTCCTTTTTTTGGCTGGAAGTGAGAAGGGCCTAACAAAGATAAATTATTTCAAATACCATGCTGCCACTCACACACAAACGGACAACTGGCTGTGTTTGCGGACGTTTGTATCCTAGTATACAACAGCAGCATTTCGGGAAAAAGCAAAAAGTCAAATTCCTTCTAAAAATAAAAAAATAATCGATGGCGCATGGAGCCGTGTGGTAAGGCAGTCACCATTTGCTTGACTTGGATATTATTGTCTGAGCTGGGTGGGCTATCAGCAGCGGCTGTAGCAACAAGCTAAAAAACAACCAAATTTATTTTCATTAATATATACTTTGCGAATGTGTTGCTCCTTCCATTGTTCTCCACTTGCTATTGTTTTCTTTTGAGGGCTCTACCAAAACTAAAAAAAACATCAAACAATCATTTATCGAAATCGTTATGGCCGTTCTGGCCGTTTGCAGGCTGCTAATACCTTACGTAAATGGCGTAAAGTATATACGGTAAACGCAACGTTGGTGTTCAATCGGAAATCGGGTAGAGCGTCCTCGAAACCTCGCCAGAACCAGAACATTTCTCTTCAACGTGAAAATGAATACCGATTATTATTATCGTTGGCCCTGTATTCAACTGGGTATTGTCGATGTAATTTCGTTCCTATTCAATAGGTCGTCGATGTTATACCATAGAGGAGTTTATTTGACGTTCCAGTAAATTATATAGCGACGGCAATTGAAATTACAAGATCTTTATATTTAGTTCTTTGGTCTAAACCCTAAACTTGAAATTGCGTTGCCCTTGCCCACTACATGCCTAACGCAGTGGTATCGTTTTCCCAAAATGTTTCCAGGTCGAACGACTGGGTTTTATAAATATTCATGAAAAGCGTCAAAGCGGCCAATCACATCATTGCCTTTGTTCACGGGTACCTTTTCAAACGAACTATGCCCACACCTCGTGTTCCCTCTGTTTTCCTTCTCACGCCGATATACAGACGAACGCCAGTTATTTATGCTATGCACATTAATGACGACAATGTCGATGGTGCGACAGTCTGCCAATATCGAAAGTGAACAAAACAACCAGAACAATAGCAATTCATGCCAAATCAAATATGCAGCTACCAATAAGCAGACAATGCTCCGAATAAGTTACTCAGCCATCATTGTAGGCGTCAGAAAATGTCACTTGTATTCTGAATCATAACTGTTTTTCCGTTAAATAATCTCAGCTGTGTATTGAAACTTTATTGTGAGTACCTCAACTGGGGAAGAAGCAGCAATGCCATGTGAAAACCAATTTAAAAAAGATACCTAAAGACAGGAATTTTAATTATTCTCCTCGTTTCAGTGAAATGATGAACGAATCGTCGCTAAAGGTCTGTCAGAACGCATTCGTGTCATGGATGCTTGTGTACATCAAGCAATTCCCTGTCAATGCCGACATACCAGTACCCTGCTCGGTCAATTCCTGTTGCATATTCATTGTGTTTATCGTTTATTTATCCATTTTAAGAGCAAATATCACCAGAAATTTTGAATGCGAAATAGTTATGTTATGTAAACATTTTGCATTGCTTACTATCCGTATTTGTGTGGACCGGTGTCATTTCAAACAAAGAAATTCCTTCTCCTGTATGGTCTCGAGTAGATCGGCTTCCGTTGCATTTCGACTATTTGCAACAATAATTAATTAACTTGGATTTCGGTGATACTGCCGTTGGCTACTTATACATAGATACCCGTACGTTTATTTCATATTCACCCTTGGATAAATTTCTGGTTTTGTTGCGATACTTGAGTATTCAACATCTGACCTTAGCTGTTTGGGTGTGGGGCAGATACACGCCCACAATTCTTGCGCAACAATATAATATTTACTGAAAGCAGATTTGCCATTCGGAAATCAATATACCCCAAAAGTAATTGTCGTGTGATACCATCTTGGAATCGCTCGATTCGTTAAGTGGGCTACTATGTACATGGGGTACTAACAAATGTTCATTTGCATTGGTGATACTTACCACGTTCAAAAGCAAACCAAGAAACAGCCATAATTTGATAATGTCCAACGGGTGCTGTCGGAATAGTTTCCTTTGTTCCTTTAGCTGCTGCATTGCAGGCCTTAATTACTGCCTAATTGATGGTGGTACTGCAGGTGCTGTTCTTTTCCTACGAAAAGAAGGCTCGGTATCCGTCTCCTTGTCCGGCTGCAAATCAGATGCGTTTGTCCTTCGGTTCGGAAACTAAACAGTCACTTTGCACAATGAGCAGCGTTTTATCACTGAATAAAATAGAAACATTTGCATTAGCGCCATTCAAATCAAAGCCAAAAAGTGGATAACAGGGCACAATCATGAACTTCTTGGAGCATGAATGCCAACAGGCAAAGATGCTGGCGTAACCAACAACTACAGCCACTATTGCTACCTCAAGATTAACAATCTAACTAACACACATTATGTACACGCACACACACAGACACACACACACCCAGCACCATAACTCACAATTTTGTTTGCTTCTGAAGTGCAAATGTTAACACCAGAGTGTTGAAATTGTGGAATTTCAACAAGTCGTCGATTCTCCTTTCTCCACTGCTATGGCAGCAAAGTCGTTGTTACTACTAAATGCTCGTTGCAGGACAGCGGTGCTTTTATAGTCGCAACTCTCTTTCGCATGCTGCGACATGATAGTTGACTAGAAGAGGAAGAAGTTGATGATGCCAGCTGCTGGCTGCTGTGTCATCGTTATGTGAGCAGCTTTGTCTCTCTTGGGAGCGTTCCTCGGAGCTTTTTCGGTTTCATTTGCTCGATTCGGGATTTTGTTTACAAACGGATAACAACGGAATATCCTGCAAAAAGTGATTTGTGAACTGTTGCTGGAATACCGACACATTGACACCGCCTTCGCTTCGATTTCTCAATATACTTGTATGAGTGTGTTTGTGTGTGTGTCATAATGACGTCACACGCGACACGATTCAGACGACAAAGTGTAACGGATATCCTTAATGATGTGCCACTGAAATAAAAGAAGCATAAAGTTGAAAGCGAGTGCACACCGAATCCATTAGTCCATTCATGTGATGATGTATGTGTGAACGCCCGGATTCGATTACCCCCTATACACCCATAAGAACTCAAACTATTGAATTTAGTCGGAAATATTAAACTTCATTGTTTCGTTCGAATTCAAATGAGATAATATCGAAATAGAATAAAAATATTTTTTCTGCCCCAGAACCGGCTAGAAACTTCGAAATTGTTTTCGATTTTCCCTTTATACATTTGAAGCGCTTTGGGCGAAGAAACATACAAATTATTGAATACAATGCGTGCTATCGGGCACAGCAATATAATATGTTATTTCTATGTCTATAATAAATAGTCTGAGTTTCGTTATTCGTTATTCAAGATCCGACTAAGTAAAATGGAAGCGAATGGTCTTATCTGTAGGTCGCCGTCATTGTCGTATACATGGACCGTATTTTATGAACCATCTCAATTATAAAACAGTTATGTGCCTCATTAAAGCTAATCACAAAGAGAATTCAATAATTGCCACTCATTCTCAAATGTCGGACGGAAATTCTATCTGCTTCTCTTTGTAATCCCCCTAAGAGCAATATAAAGATGTGACATGCGCTATAGCCACAGCTGCACAAGCAATTCTAAATTGGATACTTTCACTACCGCTGGCTACTACTTCATTTTATCATACAAACGCCAGTTGTAAAGCATTGCTGCGCTCACAAGCATTCGTGACATTTGCCAAGTGCTTAACGTACCAACCATTCATATTTGCTGTGCAGGCAGCATCGCCACTGCCTTGAAGAACTTCCCACAAAAACCTAACCTTACTGAGCTTCTGCTTGAAGCTTGCGGGGTGACTGGCAAACACAGGCATTAAGGTCCTCCTCGGATGAATGAAAAAGTGTTGCAAACGTAATGAAATTATATTGATCGTACTGGAATTGACGAAATATGCCTGAATGAGATTTCTGTAACATGGGGGGTTTCTGTAACTAATTAAAGACATAATGTTAACGACAATTGTCGATAATTGCAAGTTTTCTTTTGGTAACCAACGGCATTTGTCTCGACCGACTAACGACCGCTTTTTCAATTGTCAACAAAGTGTAGAAATGTTGACATGTTTTTGCAGTGCCATTGGAACTTTTAATTTTTTCGTTGTAAGACCACAGGACGAATTCAGTGATCGTTTTCTTTCGTTAAACATTTTTTTTTTTTTTTTTGGAGTTCCAACAATCCTTTCAAACTACATAAGTAATGTGTAGTTTGAACGTGCCCAGTAAAGCGGATTTGTTAACTTTTGGCTTCGATTTGTCTAAATTTCATATGGGTTAATAATAATAAGTTTTTGCTTTCATGTCTCTTTATGCTTTAATAAGATTTGATCTCATTCTTTAAATTTTCAGACATCTATTTGTTTGTTTTTAATAAATAAATGCATTTCTGATAGGTATGACTAATAAATATATATATATGTAGTAAGTGGTGGTATACCCATTCGTTATACCCTTCACCACACTGTGGTACAGTGTATTATGTCTTTGTGCATATGTTTGTAACAGGCAAAAGGAATCGAGATGGACCCATGGCCCCTTTTGAGAATAAGCATAGAATCACTTTCTGAGTCGATTTACACATGTCCGTCCATGTCCCATTTATGATCCGATTTGAATGAAATTAGGCATAGGTCACTTATTTGGCAGGTCCCAGGTCCCATTTATGATCCGATTTGAATGAAATTAGGCATAGGTCACTTATTTGCCAGGTCCCAGGTCCCATTTATGATCCGATTTGAATGAAATTAGGCGTAGGTCACTTATTTGGCCCAAGGACGAACCCTATTGAAATTGGGAAAAATCGGTTCAGATTTATATTTAGCTCCCCTATTTATTTTCGTCCGATTTTATGTAAATTGTGCACCAAAGCCCCTATATATCTGTCGATTTGCACGAAATTTTGCACAGCTTAATGAATTAGGTCTAGAATTATGTGTGTTAAGTTTCCTGAAATCGGTTCAGATTTAGATAGATGGCTTTTAGATTGCCAAATTTTTATTTTTTATATTTCCTAGTATCAATTTGAAAAAAAAATGCAAACAATTTAAGAGATATTTGAGAAAATATTTGAAGTTCCGTTAAAAGTGATTCCAAAAAATGTGCTGGTAATGTGGTATACCATATGATGTTAATGTGGTATAGTATAATTTTCACTTCCAATTGATATTTTATATAATTTATTGTTTTTAATGAATGTGAATTAGCTCGAGATTTATGTCTGTTAAGATTTTTAACGGATACGTTGAGTGGAACTGTAATTTTAATTATATAATAATTTCTACACATGGCAAAATTTAATTTTTGTATGGATAAGTTGTTAAAACTCATAGCCTTTGTTTTTCATCCTTGTGATTCATGGTAGGCTCTCGTAGAGGACAAATGTTTCAAATAGTAATGAGATTTTGTCTTGTGCTGGCTTTTTTTAATACAGACTCAACCACATTACCTGCACTTGTGTTCACTGAATAAACGTATAGTCTTTTTTCCTAAATTGGTAAATATGTGGTGCAATCGCGCATATTATTTGATTTTTAGTACAAACTAATTATTTTAATGCTTTAATAATAAAGTTTAAAATACATCTGTAAAACAAAAAAAATGTTTTTAAACTTCAACCGATAAAAGTCAATTTCATGAAAAATTTAATTTTGCTACTGATTCTCAACGTGATTTGAATAAATTAAGCAGATCATTGATATCTTATTTATTTAACAGCAAACTATGGAACATGTTTCAGTTATTCTAAAATTTTCAGTTTACAAAAACAAAGTGACTATACCACATTACCAACCAATACCACATTTGCATCACTTCCTCTATATATATATATATATATATATAGATCAAAATTTATTAAAACATAAAATGACACAAAAACAATAATTAATATGGTGAAAAATACAGCTAATTTCCTAGTCTTATTAGCCCATTTGAAATTGTTGGGAAATCGAAGCCAAAAGTTAAAAACTCCGTTTTTTCTGGAGTTTACTGGTGCCCCATCTGTGGTATTTTACGGAAATTTATAATAACATTTTTTGTAGGAAATATATATGAAAGAAAATACATTAGTTATGTTTGATTGTTGAAATGCAAAAAAAAATGTTTAACGAAAGAAAACTATCACTGAATTCTTCCTGCGCCCTTACAACCAAAAACTTAAAAGCGAAAACATAGTCGCTCATGTAAATTTTGTCGACAACTGAAAAAGATAGCCAAAGTGGTTTACGCAGATAAAGAACAAGATTGGCATATAAACAAATTTGGTTGCGGGTCGGGAAAATGTTAAACCTAGATTTTAAGAGCGCTGTTCAAAGTTACCCCACGTTCAAAGGTGCACACTCTCCCCTATATGTCAAATCAAAAAGTATAAAACAAAAAATTGTATGAGGCTTAAAAGCAAAAATTATTCAATGATGCCCCTCGCACCTAATAACAGAAAAGTCGAACAAACCCAGTTAGATTTTGTTGCATATGTGCAACATTGGCCACAAAGGGTTAAATAATTTGGACTCTATACACAAATTAGTATTGTATACATTTTTGCACTCAACTATATTTTGAAAAGCACATAATTTCACCAAAATTTTGAATTTTTTAAATTTTGCTTTTGATATGTGTCAAGATGTATTTAATAAGGTGTATGCATCAGATACAACAACGAATATTTTACAAAAACAACATTGTTGTTATAGAAATTAAATTGTCATGCTGACAATAAGTTTTTGACAAAAATAAACAAAAACAATTATTAATTTATTTTTGTCAAGAACTATTTTTTAGGAATAATTTATGAGTTTGTATTCTTTGTTATTGGCGGTTTTAGGTGAATGAAAAATAAAGTTTAAGACCTGGTCGCGATTAATTTTAAGTTTTCCACATGCCCATGGCTCCTTGTGATGTTGTTTATATTGTGAATTACAATCTATTTTTTCTATGGAGTGGCTTCAAATTTGGCCTTCTTAAAGAAAATAGTATGTTTTCAATTTCAATCCCCGGCCAAAGGGAATTGGGAATTGTGTTAACCGTATAAAATCTTTCTATAGGCGTATTTAACCTCCGACGAGGATTGTGACAAGCACCAAGGGGCCGATTCCAATATGGGCTAACATAATCTCCTCGATTTCATGAGTAGCTGGGATTTATGGACAGATTTCCACACATAACATAAAATATTTAGACCAATCGGCGAACGGGGTTATAACTAATTTAAGCATAGGATCCCTTTCCGTCTGAATGTATTTTCTTTAATTTTTATTTTTTATTATTAAAAAATACTACATTTAAAGACCATTTTTAAAATCGACAATTTACTTTACAAACAATAAGAAAAAAGTTTGAAACCATATGATTGTCACTTACACCTTATTAAATACGCCTTGATATGTGTCCTCCATAATCAGATCTTAACATGTGTAATGCAAATATACGCTTCAAAACATTTTGTTGCCTGTGGGCAACATTGTGCCATAAAGGGTTAAAACACATCAAGTGCTGTATTGTACATGTCCAGATTTACAGCCTCGTAGCGAAAGAATGTATTCGTGCTACATACAGATACAGGCTGTTAGACAATTTCAAAATTACCATCGAATGTAACGAATGAAATGAATACAACACTGTACAGTAACACAAACGGCGAACAGCGTAAGTTGCTGCTATACGTCGACCGTTAATGATTCAAGCGCAGCAAGCCGTAATATGCATGACTTGGTGGTTGAACTGTCGATTGGTAGAGTCACGAGAGTATGTCGACATTTGCGACTTGTGTTTTTCTCTGTGGTTTGCTCATTCCTCAATCGACAATGCAGTGCATGGAACCCAGATCCAGTCGCGTATCCACTTTTTTATGGATTATAGACGATAATTCGTATGCTATTGCGAGAAACGTACTTAGTGACAGGCTGCTTGGTTTATAGCTCTGTAGATATGTCATGCAACTGCAGAAATGAATGCTCGTTCATTATTTATGAATGTCGGGTTTGTTAATGAAAAAAGCCGGTTTTTCAATCACAATGTAAAATTCAGCCTTGTGATGTCTGTCGTTCCTATTGCTGTACACCTTTCAAGACCAATAGCCCAGAACTCGTTGTTGTCACTTTTCAGAATGGAATTAACATGTTCTGCGTTGTAATAAATACGATCTGCTTGATATTCTGCCTGAGTGACGGCATCGGTGTTCTTTATTTTCATTCGACCATTATATTCTGTTATTGTCATATAGAAATATATAAGTATGCATGTAAACCAGTGGTGTGAATGAGAATTTACAGGGCCGGCAAAAATAATAGAAACAAGCTTAACATGGTTGTTTGAACGCATAATTAGCACACCACTTTGATGGTATACTTTGAAGTACATACTACTAACGTATGCAAATATAAATTTTGAAAAAAAAAAATGAAAAAAATGCAACACCAACCAACCATCGTATCTATTTAAAATTTGTTTTTTAATTGCGTTTCATCTTAGTTTTATGATTTTTCGATACACAATAAAGACATATGTATTAATCTATCATGATGTGCATTTTTTACTTCAAAAATAATGTTATTTTATATAGAAAAACATGAATACACTATGAACATGTAAATGTAAAGAATTCACCTCAGAAAAAGTTTAAAGTGTGTGTCAACGTGTGTTCGATCGTTAAAGCGAATGACAGAACATGACCGTATGTTTTGTTTCTATTATGGTATTTTATCAATAAAATCGCCGTAGAAAGTAATTCTGGTACAGAAACACGAAATGGAAGTAGGCAAAAGACGTACTTAAATGTACCTTCTAACCCTTACCATTCCGACAAAAAAGTCGTTTAAACTATCATATTAAGTTTGTTTCTACTATTTTTGCTGGGACTGTATTTCCCAAACAAAGGCTACAATACAATAGAGGTTGTACAGTAATATACCTATGTAAAAAGCAGCGCCTGCTTCAATAATTGTTAAGCAAGAGCACATGGTGCACCAGCGACACCAACTAATTATTGAATGGTGCTGCTTTAGGTGCTGCAAACAACACAATAAGTTACACTCAATTCAATTCGGCATTGTATCAATTTCGAAAGATGTATGATGGTTGTACGAGGCGGATGACTAACGTTGAGTTCATCCAAAAATTAGATTTCAAGGGGATAGGGACGATTTGTAAATATTGCTAATAGGCTGACATCATATAAAATATTCCATGCAATGTACACAATTAAAAATGAGTCTCTCCCGTCTAGTAACAGCAGTAGGTGTCCAAATGCTGCGCTACCGAAGCAAAATAAATAAAATGCCATTGTAAAAAACGCATGTGTTTATTTGTTACATGTAAAGCATCGTTTATGAAATTAAAACTCAAGCTCTAGTTACGTACAGTATTTAATAATTTATGTAAAATTTATTATAGTATAATTTATATTATGTATGTATATATATATATATATATATCATTTTTAGTGTTTTATATTTTACAGTTATGATTTTGATTTTTCTTTTTGCAAAAAATTTCGTAAATCGCTTATAAGCTACAAAAGAATAGTACATATTGTAAAAATATTATTTGGAAATGTTTCGAGTAAAACTAACAAATTGTGGCTATTTCGTATCGCTATTTGGTTCGTGTTTTTTATATTTTGCAATTTCCTTACATTACTGCTGATTCTACGGCCAGTCGGACTACTACTGCACGCCAAGGCATCATTCGGTTCGGACGTAGTTGTGGCATGTATGGAACGGTTTGGTTTCGTTCAAGGCAACATCCCGATTGTATTTCAAATTCTCAATTTATTACTAACTTACTTTTACGTGCATGCCTTAGAGTATAGGTTATGTTTGGACCATATGGAAATAAATTCGAAAGATCAGAAGTTTGGGCAATTGAGTGTTCATCACTTTGAATCACAATAATTCTGCTTTAATAGGGGGTCACCTGTCTCCTTTTTCTTCAAATATATACTCGACATAGAAGGAAATACAAGGGATGCAGTGTGGATATAAATGTGGAAGAATGACTCCCCTTCCTGCTTTCTTCAATCATTGAGACACGGGGGATGTAAAATCGAGAACACAAACTTATAAATGATTGCAGTTACAATTCAATTGAAATTCCTTTCTTTTTCCTACCCATCGTATATGGTTCAGAAGCCAACCCTTGAGGGATAATTGCTTTAGCTGGAAACATTCGTATAAATACAATGGGTCTACAACAGGTACAACAACAATAAAAAATAATACGTAAATGCTATCCTAAATTAAATTAATAGTATATGAGTGTGATTGGACCAAGGGATTTTGTCCTTCGGTATTATCTTGCCGGATTTTCTTTCCAATTGTTTGGCATGCGGTCTGTACAGATCTCATTCAAGGCAAACACATCATCGGTCGGGCTATGAAATCCTATAATTTATATTATAATATTTGAGGGCGAAACTGTGACAAGACATACTTAATCTACATAACCAGATGATGCAACGCTTTTAGGGAGAGGACAAAGCATACAGAGTAGAAGGTCAATGTTTGTACCCCCGATTTTGTAACAGCGGAATTATGTGGCAAACCAATACCTGCCATGGCTGGCTTTAGATTGTGCTCAGCGAGATTGTCAGGTTTGTCCTGTGGTATCTCGTTACTGTGCGGGGAGTCTAACATGGAAGTCTCCAAGCTACCGGCTGCTGAGTTCGTATCAACCAAATCCTTCATTAGAACTACTGGTGGTTCGTGTATTGGGGTTGGGTTGCCTGCTGTTGTGGTTGCATGTGTTGTTGTGGAAGTCGTCGACGTAGTGGTTGTAGTTGGCACAAACGTTCCATTTTCAATCCAATACACCTGACTGAACTCTAACTTGACATCTTTCAAATATGATTTACGCACCTGCAAGACAAACGGAACAAATTGAGAACAAATGAAAGGGTAATTAAACAATAAGACTTACCTCCGATAATATTTTTCTAGATATACTGTCCTCGCTGCCGGCGTAGAAGGCATACAATTTCGCTGAGTAAGGAGCATCCAGAGTCACATAATTTCCCTTCAACGTTACATTGATAGCGGTTCCTGGCCATAATTTTGTTTGCACTGATTTGGTTTCCACGCGTTTTTCGCTGTATTTCAAGCCCCAATTGATTTCCGTGGGATTGGATGGGTCTTTCTCGTAGACCTTAGTTGGCAAACCACGTGCGACGCCCTCATGGGAACCCCAATATTGTATGTAATCGTAACTATACGACAATACCGTCTCTACAAGAATGTACTTGTCAATCTTGTTGGCCAAAATGCCAGAGGCTAGAAAGGAACGAACAAAAAACTGAACAAATGCCTATACTATTTTAAAATATGCAGAGCGTTCTTACCCAATTCCGTGACATTATCTCTGCTGTCCATTCGTATTTGATCTAGACGAATGTCGCGCAGTTCATACCGAAATGGTTCTGTTTCAACCAAAACTTCGCCTTCGTCGTAGTCCTTTTCACGATCCGATTCCATGGCTTTGATTTTACCCAAGCCGGCAGGATCTAAACGACCTAAATTGTAATCAGCCCCTTGGAATGCCTCGCCTTCTTCCATATTCTGATGTTGGGATGACCTGTGTCTAGCAATATAGGAATCCTCGCCAATGCGTATAGCGCCCACAGGTACTCCCAAATTAAACTTGCGCCACTGCTTCCACGAAACTTTACCTAAATGGCCCTTGTTTATGAGGACATCAAAGTGGTCGTACTTTTTATTTTTATAATGGGCAGCCACACACACGTGCGACTGTTGGATCTTCTCTGTATGGCCACTGGTCGTCACTCCTTCGATTGTCACGCGACATACATAGATGGGGTAGTGCTCTTCCTCACTTATGTACTTGCCGCCCTCCACCGCATATTGCAGTTGATTGCTATTCTTAGGATCATACGTCTCCCATACCAAAGTGCTGGACGTTACTAACTGTCCCAATGCAGTGGATGTGTTTTTGTATGTCAGAACAGGATGAACGGCTGCCTCAATTAATTGGATGAACATCAACGTAGTTAACGTTACCGACAAAAATATCGATTTTTGGTCTGATTGGAGACTCGATGGCTTTCGATTCGATGTCATCTGAAAACAAAAAACACGTCATTGCATTAGGTTGCTACTAAAATCAAAAAATCAAATCAAATTCATAGAGACAGTCCACCAATAGATCGATTCTGAATCCTGTGACACACATATGTATATGCGTGCATTCAAATTCAAACAAATTGTATCATTAGGTATGTTCAATATTATGTACCAACACTTCAATAACCATGTTTTTACAACTCGCATGACGACCAATCTGTGTGCCGTCATTTCATAGTATGTACATATATTTTTGTTTACAAAAATAAAAAAAAAAACACACACACACACAATAATCAGCGCTATTAGTCTGAGTATAGCCACTTGGTTTTAACATCACATGGGCAGTTTGTTGGCAACTCTGAAAGTCCAAAGCACGTGCTGTGTGTTCTACTCTGCGAGATGATTTCCAAACCTGTTCAGACACGTAACGTTGTTCGAACACAGATTGGCCAAAACAAAAACGAGTTTGTGGCTTGTATTTTGGAGAGGGGAATTCTTGCCTGTCCAAAACAGCTTTAGGTACTGTTTCTTTATTACCTTCTTCGCTAGTATAGTTTCATTCCAGTACTTGTTCGTAGATATGAACAAAATACTAGACACGATTGCATTATATGTATTAGAGCAAAGTCGACGCCCGACTGTGTCCCACAAAGCAAAGAAAGAGCCGGTTTTAAGATTTCAGTTAAACAGATTCTTCTATGTATTCTATTCGAGCAAGATTACTACTTGAAAATAACTATGTTATCATAAAAACCCAACATATTTTGTATACATTAACAAAAACTACATACACCACTATATGAAATGCTGGCTTTTTGCCCAATTTACAAACTCGAAATGTGCTAATAAAACACAACCACATTCGCTCCGCCACTTATCTCAAAGATTCACATAAACAAATTTCGTTAACCAGAATTTCAAAGCGACGATTAGAAGGGCAAACGCCCATACAAAGCTTTGGAGTACACAACGCAAAAAGCGATGCGGAGTAGAGTTGAATGACTTCAGTCCACCAGGCAGCTCATACAGACAACCAACTCTCAATTAGAAATTGGATCGGCCTCAGGATTAATTACGACCATTCAAGGTAAAGTGCGTGATGTCAGCTGCTGTCTTTATTTATGTAAACTTCGGCAGAAGTAGTTGCTGTCGGTAGATCAATCGACAAGTTTGAATCAGTGGACTTAACTCGAATATTCGGTTTTCTGGATACACAGCTCTACAGATATGAATTTGCGTGACATGTTCGGCCCCCCAATTTCATAGAGGAATTCTTTCAGTGTACATACTGTTCTTGGGCGTGTAATTCTTTAATATAAATTTCATATTTAATTTCAATTAACTTTATGTGCCAGAAATTATGTTTAATTGATGGTAACATTTGCTTGTTCAATTCACTCCGTCCCTAGGACTGTTGTGGTGGTTATTTTTCAACGCTTGTGTCAAAGTTTATACAAATTCCTATTAATTGAGCGCGCAATCAAGCCATATTTCTTAATATTACAGAGACGAAGAGACCCGTATTAAGTGGAATAAAGTAACATGTTCACACATGTCCGAAATATTAGAAATAAATACATAGATCACCAAATGTAAAGGGTATTCCTGTACTGGTGCATTGCTTATATCTTCGATCCAAACTGCGGTATGATTGACCATTAACAAATTCAGAAATGTCTCCCCACAAATGTTGTAACAATAAACATATTCATGTGATAGAATATCGGCGCGAAAAGTACTAAAGTACTTGGCGAACCGGTAGAGCTAGAACTCTTAAATTTAAAATGAGGGTCACTGAGGGAGTGTGGACATTTACTAAAATGTACTACATTTGGTACAATTTCGTAGTATGTGAATGGATAGAGCTAAACACTTGAAATTAGAAGTAGGGTCGATATGAGGAGGTGGTTTTGAAAGCGTGTACTCATGTATACGTAAAGTACTAAACTGTACTAAATTTGGTACAATTTTAACTTGAAGAAACGGATGGAGCTGGATTTTTAAATTTGAAATTACATTACATTATATCGGCTATTTTGGTAAAAATGTTACTCAAAAGATGGCAATGAAATTAATAACCGGAAAAAATACTCGACAGTAAAGCATTCGGATGTCATACAATATTTGGAAGCGTGTGTAAAATGGCGAGACCACAATAGTATTGAAATCGATCGTTTTAAAAAAACTTCAAGAAGAAGCTACACGTCAAGTCCTTGAAGCTCCAAATAAACAATTTTTTTTTTTTTAATCCTCGCAAAAACTACTGTTCTCAATGAAATTAAAAAAGAATTCCTATTCCTATTATTTATATAAAATACGAAAAATAAATATTTGTAAATTAAAATATAGTTTTTCTCTGCAGTTTAGAGCAGTATAAAAATATGTCACTCGGTATGAAGATATTTCCGATTTAACGATGAGGGCTTACAATATATAAATCGTTATTTCGAGATTTCATATATGTACATACACGTACATACACGTACATATACGTACACATATACATATATATTCATATACATATATATTCATATACATATACGTACACATTTTTAAGAAAATTTATTCAAAATACTTTTATTCCTCAACTTCTTTTCGAATTACAAGCAGAATAATTTATTTTGACAAAAATGTAGATAAAAGTTGTTCTTATTGCATATGTCTTGTTATTTAATTATAATTATTCAAACAAATTAAAAAAACATCCGAATTATCCGCAAATAATAAGAACAAAATTAAAAAAACTTCCCGAATTCTCCGCGCATATACACACTACTTATTTTGATCGATATTCCTTGTCTTAAGGCCTTAACAGCTTCTCTAACGTCCCTGCATTTCGTCGCACACAAACCATATTTAACATAAATGTTTTGTGGTTTAAGATTTTTTATATTTCAGCTTCAACATTGATCGCATTTACGAAACGAGGGAACAATCCGAGTGGGAGAGACCGGCATCATGGTTTGTAACAATTGATAAAGTAGAAAGTCATACTCCCGTAGACCACAGCCAATGCATCATTTAACGCTTTCTCCATTTGTATGTGTTATTTATTATTATTTTTACCATTTTACTAAATTTCCAGGCTGCTCTGCAAACTGATGTAAATACCTGAACGATGTACGAGGGAACAATCCGAGTGGGAGAGACCGACATCATGGTTTGTAACAATTGATAAAGTGGAGATGCAGTCAATAGTGTGATGGACGGTGTGTGGGCACTTCTGAAGTACTACTGTCTTCAGCCAGAACCAAACACGAACAGTGGTCCTCATCTTGATGCACCTCTAATTACAATAGAGATTTTAGAGTAATGCGAGACTCACAAAAATGTTATGCTCTGTAAAGGCCAGCTAAAAAATTAAATTCGTCGCTTTACAAGAAATATGATACAATAGCCAAGCAACATCAGTATTGCAGACAACGCCACAATAAGAAGGCACGTCTTAATTTAAAAACACCCATTGGAAAGTGGTTATATAGCTAGCAGGTGTGCGTGTTGAAAATTGGGAATGATAAACGCGTCACTGCGGCTGTCGTCCGGTTCAATACGTATGCACATGTTAGAATTTATAGTTCACAATTCCACTCAGTCAATCTCAAGTGGAGAATGACATAAGTTTAGAAATATAAAGAAATGTTTTCCAGAACCCAGAATGACCCATTTGGCGAGCATTCCAAACTACACGGTACTTTACTGTACAATCTGTACACAAAATACTACTATATTGTCCTATTATTGTGTGGTCTACAAAACGTTTACATGCTTTGAAGACTAGCGTAAAATATAGTCACAAATACATGGTTGATGTAGATTTTGAAGTGTTGCCACTTAGTATTCACATTTTAATAGTCTTCACAATTTCACATGTATATTTATACTCTTAGACGAATTCTAGATTTCGCTCTTGCACTAGTTGCATAATTAAGAGGTACGGAAACAAACCAAATAGTGTTAGTCGTCTCGAAAATAAAATAAATGAGAGCTGGCATAGGTCACGCCTCGAACCATCACTTCGTAGTAAATAGTTGCATCTACACCGTAAATAGTTGTCATAATCTCTCATTGGTTTATTGTTATCGTTGTTTGCAAACCAACAATTATCCAATTGCTAGAGACATCTGTCATAGTTTTACACGTACAACGGTGATGAGGTGACAACAACGAAGCGAATGTTACTTTACTTGGTCCATTGCAAAGCGTTGCTTGTCCAGCAACCATCTCAGGTCAACTGTACATCATCAGGGTGGGGTTGGAGAGACAGCGATATACATAAATTGCAACCCACAACTAATGGCAACTTATAATAACATATTTAGGTTTTGACGTCACCTAAAAAAATTAAATTAAATTGTGACCCTCAAATACTAAAGCGCGACGAACACAAGCACACAGCCAATGTGAGCAACATTGAGAGGCAGAATTGTACTCGTTCTGAATTTGTTATTTTATTGCAACCGCATATGACAACCACTACAATCATTGCGTTGGTCATCACAATGATGACATCGTCGACCCGAGTATTCAGACGCAGAACATAGCATAAATAAGCACATATGCATGTACATATGTAATATATTTAATTTGAAGTGTGCATAATTGAAATTGCAGGATGGCGGTGTCGTCATCGCATTCTATCTGAGAATCAGTCGTAAAATTTATATCTTGCGAATATTATAAATGTATCCTCCACAGAACTAAGAGAAACCTTCTGGAAAAATTTGTTCAGGTGCATGTAAGGCTCAAACGGCAACTTGACTATAATGGACAATTATAATGCCTGAAATCAGACGATATCGCTGAACATTCAACATTCATTTCAAATCTGACGACAACGATATAGAATACCATAAAACCATTCACATGAATGTCTATGTTTATCGTACCTTAATTTGCAGTCATTGTTGTCAAGTCCCCCTGC